CAATGGCCAAAGCCAGCCCAACGTCCAAATAGTGAGGAACTCTGGGGGTGAGGCCAGCCATCTGGGGTGTAACAAGGGCTCCAGGTGATTCTGATCTCACTGTGGGCTGAGAGTCGCTGTTCCAGAGCAGTCCTGACTCCCAGGTTCCCCTGCTTATTCACCCTCCCTCCAGGGCTGCTACACACTTGAACTCCTCTTGCAGCCGGCAGAGCTTTCCATTCTTTTTCTTCTTTTTTAAATATATCTTCATTGACCAGCTGCCTCCTGCACGCCCCCTGCTGGGGATCGAGCCCACAACCCGGCCATGTGCCCTGACTGGGAATCGAACCTTGATCTCCTGGATCCTAGGTCGATGCTCAACCGCTGCGCCGCGCCAGCCGGGCAGAGCGGCCCATTCTTTAATCTCCCGCTGCCTCTCCCCCTGGTCCTGGTTCAGCCGCACAGACCCCTTGAAACACCGCAGCCCACCCTCCGAGCCTTCCGGCTGGGTCTTTGCTCCCAAAACTCTGCTCCCCCATGGCGACCTCTTGAAATCTGCCCTCGTCTTACCCTCCAGCCTCTTGACAAAACCTCCCTGATCCTGTCTTCTCCCTTTTTGAAAATTTTTCTGTTACCCCTTAACATTTTTATATTTAATGAAAAGAACCATTTTAGAGAAACAAGCTGGCGGCATAGGGAACAGTTGTGCCCACCACCTCCCGCAACCACATCAAAATTACAAATAAAATACAGAACAACCATCACTCAGAGCCTCCTGAAATCTGGCTGAACAGAAGCCCCACAACCAGGGAGCTGAGGAAGCACCGAGAACAGAAGGAGGGGAGGAGACGGGGCCGCGGGCCCACACCCGATGCCGCGGTTGAAACCCTGGAGGGAATCTCGGCGGTGGGGTTTCCCGGAGTGAGGGGTCGCAGACCCCCAGCCCAGGGCTCCAGGGCCGGGAACAGATGTCCCCACAGCTTCGGGCTGTGAAACCAGCAGGGACTGTCCCTGAGGGTCGCGGAGGCTGCGGGAGCCCCAGCAGCTCCTCTAAAGGGCCCGGCGCGGACTCACTCGGACGCTCCCTCTGAGCCCAGCGCC